TCACTGGAAAGGTCTTAACGCACCGCACATGTCTTCCAAGGAACCCACCAGCAAACACAGCTTATGTTATGCCAGCAGAAGTCAGACTGAATCTAGCCTCTAGCGTATAGAGCGTAAGGTAAGCATTTGGAAAGGAGAAAAACCTGCTTCTTTAAGGCAAAGTGCTATCTTTTAGATCTGCATTCCTGGGCTACCTGCCCTGTGTTGAATCATATTGAACTATCCAGTTCAAGCCATGGTTTGCTCTAAGCTTTTACTGGGAGGTAAAATCGTGTTTGTGACATACCTCACACACAGCTTAGTGTCTGTGTTTTAATAGAAACACTGCAGGCTCTCTAGAGCCTGCTTCGTAACCACCCTTTTGAACTTGCTTCTTCCAGGTACCATCATTATTTGACGACTTTGCTAGTTTTCTTTCATATTTCTGAGATCACTGAGGATAATCATATTAGGTCAGACAAAAAGTTTGCTTCACTTGGTACCCTACCTGACAGTGACTAGCAAGAAGAAAGCTTGCAATGATGTTTCCCTGAGGATATCCTCCCTCCTTCCAGTGGTCTGAAGCTTACAGCCTTCCCATGCTAATGGTTCTGCCTGCCTCTCTGTGTATTTTGGCCTTTGTTTTTAATTCAGTATACTTGTCTAATTTTTAATCCTCTTGTGACAATGAGCTACCTAGTCTGAGCATGTAGCGAACAGCACCCTTTCTTTTTCTCGTATTTAAAGGATGCATTTCATAGCCACTACTTCTTGTGGTGTCTGCTGTTAGTATGAGCCATTCCTGTCATTTCCCGGTGTGTATCTGTTGATCTTACCTCCAAAGATGGGAGGAAGACCAGTTGTTTGATACTATTTGCTCATTTCTCCCACTCCTTTTAAGGTTGTTTCACTCTGCTGGTCAGGTTAAAGCCCTGATTAAAAAAGATGTTTGATTTTTTGATACTGTATGGTAAGTATAATTTGCAAGACACAAGTGTTGTGCCTCACGGCAAAATATCTTTGCTAAACTCTGCTATAATTGCATGTTCTTGTTGCCAAATGACCTGGCAGTTTGTGTCTTTTGATAATGCACTTCCCTCTAGGTGGGAATGCTGCTGATTTCTCTGGCATTACCAGGTGAGTGGGACTCTGAGCACGCTGTGTAAGTATTAAGAGATGTGCTTTCCCTCGTGGGATGCGGAGTCGGTCTGGGTAGCTGAATGTTTTAGTCTGCCAAAGCCAGAAGGAAAGACCTTTTGGACAGGGTTGGTGCTTGCATTCCAGAATGGTGGCATTCGGCTTTCTGTGCCGGCAGGGAGGAGCTTGTCCTTTTGGCTCACTCTCAGCTGGTATTGCCCTACCCCTTGCTACACCATGTCCCCTGCCGGTCCTTTCCAAGGGATCCAGGAGCTAGTTACCTGCAGAGGCTCCAATTCAAGCAAGCATGTAAGCACATGCTTGAATCCCATTGACGTCAGTGAGACTTCAGCATATTATTAAAGTTAAACATACGCTTAAGGGGTTTGCTGAAGTGTGGCTTAGATGTAGATGCTGTCTGCCAGATGTGTTCTCGGAAGACTTGGAAGTCTCCCTGGTGTTGTCACATTTACAAGCTAATACCAGCAGGAAGCCTACTGGACATGTGTAATACGTCCTTCTGTATTGAGAGCGAAGGCACTTCGGGGAGAAGTGATGTGAAATACCCAACTGCTGCGCAAATGCGGCCAGATCCTTGCTAGAAATGGGCAGCTTTGCTGAAAGGAGGACCTGCAGGGGCATAAATAAATCCTGCACCTTTACAGTTTTTCTTGCTGACCTTATGATGCACAAAATACGTGTGGCCTTTGTTGCTATTTGAACCCTGGCTCGTTTTGTGAAAAATTTCAGCTGTGTTTTAACCCCTTGTGCTTGGAATTGGTAACGGGCTTTTAAAAGAAGGTTTTGTTTCATACACTTGCCTCATACTTGCAAGTTAATGTGCGTAGTAAACTTTATGCACACAGGATGTGGAGCTGAAACGCAGATAGAATTATACTCATTGAATTTTTTACCTACTCCAGTACTGTTTAAAGTTTACAGTAGTGTATTTGAGATCAGAGTGTGACCATAGGTGCCTACTAAAATATTGTTATTTTCTTATCAAGTAGGATAGCAGGAGGATTTAAGCTTTAAAAAAAAAAAAAGTTATTTTGTAAGTTGTGATATGTTCAAGCTTTTCTTTCTCAGAGTGTCTGTGAAAACATTTACTAACAGTATTTGGAGTTGTTGCAAAGCAAAATCCCAAGCAGCCTGTGTCCAGACAGTTATAGTTAGGTTTTTTTAGCTAGTGACTTACTTACGAATGTTGTTAAGTTGATTACAAGATATCTGGGCTCTCTGTCCACTGCATTGTTTGTGGAAAGCTTGATGGTAGCAATATTTCAGCACTGGGAAAGCCAACGTCAAAAGCTGCGGTGCCAAGAAGTGAATTCCTCTAAAGGAGACCTCCTGGGAGCTCCTGACTTCATCCACTCCAGCAATTCAGTGCTGTGGTACTAAAGCATGGCATTAGGTTTTCCTTAAGTACTCGGGTGTTTCTCTCCTTTCCCAACAAAATCATATAGCGCTGCCTTCTAAGCTAGTAGTGGCTTACATGGAAAAATATTAACTTTCATGCTTCTCATGTGTGAAATTGGAGAGGAATTTTGCAAAGAAATAGCTGGAAGAGGGAAAACTTGCTGGAAGTGGGAAAACAAGCATACTGTTCTGCTTGGTTACTCATTCACAGATCTTTCAGGATGAAATTTTTGGAATAGTGACCACATTGTGGATTGCCATTCTTTTTGGAATACGTTTTAACATTATCATTAATTGCTGAGAAAGGCCTGAGGTAGATGGAGCAGCTTGACAGCTGATACAGAAGCAATCAAGGGCTCAGGTCTGCTTCACCATCTTGCCTGTATACAGTATTTGTACTATGTGAAGTATCTGAGATCACTTTCACTGTTGGGTTTGCTTTAGAAGATGCCAAGAGCCAAGTGGATAGTTTTTTTATTTCCTGGGTGTACAAGTATCTTGTGGCCATTCCTGTCTCAGGGAGGTAGCTGTCAGCATGAGTGGAAGATTAATGATAGTGGTGTGGCCGTGATGCTAAGAATGTGGGTGAAGCAGGCTTTGTAGGTGGAGATGATCTCTTTTGGTCACTATTCACTGCTGCTATCTTAAAAATCAATTAAACCTTTCTGGAAAATGTTTTGTACTCCAGGCGGGGAGACATTCTTGTCCTAGTGATGACTGAGACAGACTTCCAAATACTCCTGGTTCAGGCATTATCCACAGTAGTTACTTAAAAATAATGAAAGCTCACTTTTGTTGGAGGCTTTGATAGACCTACATCTGTCCATGAGTTGTCTTAGTCAAATAGAAATCCTGGAGTTTGATACCATTGACAGTGTGTGGAAGAGGGGAACAAGGAGAATCCAGCAGCTATGGCTTCAGTCTAAGTGATGGAAGACCTGTGGTTTGATTTATTTGCTTTTTTGTGGCTTGCCTTGGACAAATTTTGTAGTGCTGTTTTCAAAGTATCGACTTCAGACAACCCCAGGTAGTCTAGCTTAGGATAAGTTAGAGATCTGGTGCTAGGTGTCCAAGCTTCCCGCACTCAGGAAAGAGGGGGTGCCTTCAAAGGCTGCATTAGTGTTCCTGGGCTCAGAGTTAGGGACTGCCTGGTGCTAGCTGGGAGATCCTAAGCATGAGTATTTGTGAATGCTTCTTTCTTCTCAGAGTTGAGGTGTTGGATTTAAGTCTGTCCACTAGGGCATCTCTGTCCACTCAGGATTTACCCTCCCTTAAAAGTAAGCACTGAGAAGAGAGGAGTGAGATAAGATGGGCAAAAGCATCCTCCACCTTTTGTACTGAAATGAGAACATGGGGAGCAAAGAGTGTGTGATTTGTGGCCAGGAAGAGTGCAACCACAGGGAAGGTTCATTTTGTTGCCTGGCAATTAGCACAGACACTTGGAAAAAAAAAAAACCTGCCTTCCCATCCTGTTTCTTTATCCAATTACTGCAGAATGTAAAATGAATAAACTCTCATGGGAGGAGAGACCACAATCAGGTCTTTCCTCTTTCAGCTAGCTGTCCTACTTGCTGGGGAAGAGTGTGAAAGTTGTAGATTTGCCTTTCCTCAGGCTAAGAGTGGAATTTAATTTGGGATCTCCCTTGTTTTGCGTGACTGCTTTACAGTATAGGCTAGTTGCAAAAGGTGCGTGCTACCACTGTTTCCACTTGTTCTTCCTCCCATGTTTTATAGCGATCCCAGTGCTGTCTTAATGGGTTAGGTGTGCTGAGAGCACAGCTGCCTGGTCAGGGACACCCTAAAGCCTGTTTGTGTCTGTAGCCTGGGTTTGATTACAGCGTAGTTTAGCTGGGAAATGGCAGGACACATCTGTGTAAGCATGCATGTCTCAGCTTGGGCATCCAAGCACTCAGCAGGTGAGATGCATACTAAAAGGTGCAATGGTGTCATTCATTTTCCCCAACATTGGACACTTCTAAGATTTGGCTAGACAGGGTGCTGGGCCATCTTGTCTAGACCGTGCTTTTGCCAAGAAAGGTTGGGGCAGATGATCCTTGAGGTCCCTTCTAACCTGGTATGCTAGGGTTATAATGCTTAAGGAGATAAATTTTGAATTAAGTCTAAGCTGGTAGGTTTAGGTTCTTTGACAGTGGCTGGAGAAATGTCATCGTTTCGCTTCTCTTAGGATGCGGGTGCCTATCTATCTTGGGTGACAGATAAGTCTTTCAAACTAGCCACGATTTTGACACGGTTACATTAGGCAGGATGGACTTCTTACCACTGGCTGTAACAAAGATATCACTGGAGGTGAAGGATGTGAATTCTCTGTGTCAGTCGCCTCTTGGTAGAGCCTCCTAATGAACATCCCCAAGCATTTCCTGGCAGTCATTCCTAGTACACACCGGTGGTTTTGGCTGTGATGTGTGACCTCATTAACGTAAGGTTTTGCTCTGCTTTCATTCCAGGTCGTCAGAGCTGCTGAAGAAGCTGCTTCCACCCTGGCGAGTTCCATCCACCCCGAGCAATGCATCAAGGTGCTTTGCCCCATCATTCAGACTGCAGATTATCCAATTAACTTAGCTGCTATCAAAATGCAGACGAAAGTCATCGAGAGGATTTCCAAGGAATCGTTGCATCAGCTCCTTCCTGATATCATTCCTGGGTTGTTACAGGTACAGAACCCCATATCACAAATGCTCCTGAGCACAAACCACCATTGAGTAATTTGTGAGGTCTGGGACCTAAGAGAGAACGATGGACCCTCTGGGGCCAGATTTTGCTAAATTAAAGTTTTAATCCCTCTACGTTTTTATATTTGAGCTTTTGATGTTTTTAATGTTAAGGAAGAGAAAACTCAGATTCCGATGTGTATGTTCCACAATTAGATGCCGTGGCCTGACTCCTAAATAAGCCAGTAGCAGCCATGTGATAAATTTGAGAGTAGGAGTTAGCCACATCTTATGCTGTCTCAGTACATCCCAAGCAATGCATCTTGCAGTCTCCTTTAATTCTGCTGAGGTATTCTGCGCTTTGATTGTACTTTGCGCTTGAATTTGAATCCCAGCAGGCAGGCTAGTCCTCTCCTTTTTCCTCTCCGAAATCAGGACCGAACTACTTGCTAACTTCATTCAGCCTCTTTCATAATCCTCTCAGGCTGGGTGGGGAGCTGTGTTTTTGCCAGTTCTAAGGCTTGGTCTTACATTGTGAATTTAGCTTTCAGCGCTGGCTGTAGCAGTGTTGTCTTCTGTTCCCCTGCACAAGCAGCTGGCAGTGCCAGCGGCTGGGAGGAGGCTGCAAGCAAGAAGGAAATAAGGGGAGGTAGCAGCGAGGGAGGAGGGAGAAATGTGTGTGTGTTTACTGGGGAGGAATTGTAACAGGAACAAATCAGTCAATGTGAAAGGGGAGACATGTTTGGGTGGGTAAGACTTCACTAGAGAACTGGGATAAAGACGTCTCCTCATTGTGAGCATAAAAAGTTGGAAGGACAAGAGCAAAGTCAGAAATTCCCCATGTGTATCCTAGCATTTGTCCCAACTTTGTAGTGTCAGCTCTTGCAATTCTGTTCTTAAATCTCAACTTCTGGGAATCAGGCAATTCTGTATTGATCTAAACTTCTGTTGTAAAAAGTTTTTAGCCATAATTGTTGGAGACAACAATCTGAACAGTGGAGCTTCAATGCACCAGAAAAGTTTGGGAGCAGCATGCCTTTAAACACACAGTTATCTTTGTTTTATTAAATTGCTTCCATGTCTTAAAACGGATGTTGTTTTGGAGCCTAGTTTGCTATTTTTCATCTTGGAGCTGCCAGTGATATTTCCTCACCTTAGAAACTCATAGTGATTGAAGGTATCTGCTCCTGGTGTTTGGGAAGTATTTTGAGATCCTTCTGGCTGAAGGACTGTGTGCAGAGGGAATCACCTGTGTGCTTGTATACCATGCTGAGGGTATCGGCGGAGTGGTGAAGAGGTAAGGAACGTCGGACAGCAGCAGCATGAGCACAAGTGTGTAGCTCAGCAGCCCAGAGCAGGATCCCCATGACCCCCATGAGCAGATGGGGGTCTCCATGCAAGAACAGGGCTTGGCTGAGGAAAGTCGTGGTGCTTGCCCTGTCCTGATGCAAAGCTCTGGCTGGGGGATAGAGCAGCGCCATGAGGTACTCTCCCATGCGCTGCGTCTCGGTACCCTCAGGCTGAAGAGAGCTTTGAGCCCATGTCATCTCCTGAGCAAATGATCTAACTGTTGGGCTGTGTTATTAAGTGCCGGGAGAAGAAGCAGCTGCTGCCTTGCAAGCAAGTTGGCAGCTGGAGAGGTGGGATGACGGTCCCACTGGCGCAGATGGCGCAGGCTCTACCAGCCCAGCGCCCACTGGGACGCAGCCCTCCCAGGCCGCAACACCGCACGGATGTGCCTGCCACTACGGGAGCAATTTGGGATGCACACGTAAGCAAAATGCCAGGCCCATAGGGAAACTTAAGGTCAAGCAGAGGCATCTGATAAGTTCAGGAGCCTTTGGATTGGGACCCACGGAGCCCTGCATCCCAGCTGTCCTCCTAGCAGTGGGTTGTGTCTCTGTGGGTGTTCCTCTGCTGTGGGCCTGGGCTCAGCCTTTTTTCCACCTCGGTCCTCAGTAGCTTGATGTTTCTGTGAGCTCACCTAGGTGTCCTGCTTTTCTAGTTCAGTGCTCTTTAGGATTGCAAACTGTCATTTTAGGCGTATTTTGGCCCTGCAGTTAGAACATCAGCCCTGCTAGTGGGCAGCCTGGCAGCCCCAGCCGTGCCGCATCCCTCCTCCCGGCTTTCCCGGCAGAGGTCACCCTGCATCCGGAGGAGCCAGCGTCCCGCAGGCTGATGTGATGTCTGTGTTTCTCATGGGATGGCTGCTTAGTGATGAATCACTGCCGGAGTACAGGACTGATGTCAGCAGCTGCTGAGTGATCTAGTGGCTAGTTTGAGCTCTCCTGAAGCTGCCCGAGATCTGGCACACCTACAGGGGTCTTTACATGTTCTTTTCTGTGGTATTTCCTGATAAGTAATCAAAAAGCTCCAGGTTACAGAGGCAGTTCATCTAATGGATTAGCACATGTGTGTAGCACTGTTACACACAGGGTTTAAGCCCAGTGCTTTTGAAGAGTTGGAAGACATCCATGATGACTCTGATTTTTGCAGTTTCTAATGCCTGGATAGAGCTATTCTGTCCAAATAGATTCTAGGTAGAATATCTGTTCACTAAACAGGATTCCGGCTTTCATGTTCTGAGTGATATAACTGTTAGGCCATTTTGCTGCAAAATTCATCCCCATTTGTAACTTCACTCTCAGGAGCAGAATTGGTTTCCTTTGGATTAGATTTGGGTCAGGAAAGACTTTTCTGAAGGCAAGCTGGGAGCATGAGGGCTCGCCTCCAAGAAGTCCTGATCATCCAAGATAGCATATAGTCATCTGAACTGGACACAGGAATGTGTATATTTGATGGAGTCCTAAGATCATGTTGGGAAACTGTGTGTTGTTGCTTAATGCTATAAATAACAAGATATTAATAACTTAAAACATGTTAGTAGTAACTAATAATATAAAGAACAAATAGGATGTACTGGGTGATTGTATTCTCTTGCTCTTCGAGTATTCAGGTTGCAAACTGTTACATTAAGCAGAGCCTTTGCCTTGATCTGTTAGGTCAGCCACATTTGGAAAATGTTCATCAGGTGTTTAGTATATTGCTCTGGAAGGATGTTGGTGAGTGCTGTTTGACTTCTGACCTTTTTTTTTCTTGTTTCCTAGGGTTATGATAATACGGAGAGCAGCGTCCGTAAAGCTAGCGTATTTTGCCTAGTGGCAATTTATTCAGTAATCGGAGAAGAACTGAAACCTCATCTCGCACAACTCACAGGAAGCAAGGTACAAGAGTAATGCGTCGCTGGTGTTTGGGTAATAGCCAGCTGAATGGCTTGCACTACTAGCAGCAAGACCAGTGGCTTCACAGTAGCTCTGGGTCAAGTTCCCTGTACTCTGTTAAATCCTATCTCACCCCACCAAACACCATTAGAACAGCACAGCACTTGCTCAGCAGTGTGAGCATTTGAAATCCCACTAAGTGAGTTTTGATGGGGTTCAGAGATGGGTTTCATGACGCATTTGATCCTGTGTAACTGCCAGCTGCCAACGAGCCACTTCCCACTACAGCCATGTTTACCTTGCCCCTTCGGCATTGCATCCGGGGGTGACCGTACAGTGAGTTGGATCAGCTGGCTGCTCTGGCTGAAAACCAGATCTGCAATACAAATTAATTAGCTTTCAGTCCACTCTGCGGCTGCACAGGTAATCTAGTGCAAAGAGTGGAGGGAATGCATGGCTGGGATGGGTGGGAGAGCAGATCCTCTCAGCAGCAGGTCATGATTAGGGCTGGTAGAAATGCAGGTAAAGCTTCACTCTTAACAGCATGGCAGATGTGTCCCTTTCCTCCTGGGACACCAGCAAACTCAAGTGACTCTTCAAAGGATTTTGTGCCCTGGAGTCAGGTTAGTTAGTAGCAAAAGTCAAATTCTGACCTGATGCTGCAAGGGAAATCAAGTCCTTAAATCAGCTCTGTCCTTCAGACAAGAGCTGGAATTTTGTGTAGAGGCAGGTGGTGTTTGATTGCTTTTCAGAGCTGCTCAGGAAGCCGTCACAAGATTTATTCTTCTGTTTGAAGTTGTCATACCCGAGATTTCTCTGCAATTTTAAGATGAATTCTGCATTTTTTGGTTTCTGAAATAGATCTCTTCATGTGAATAGCTACTTAGTTCAGAGGATTTCGTTCTGTTATTTTAAAGCAATAATTTCTTTCATGGGTAGGAAGTGTGGTGTAGGCCAAAACAACCTGAGACTGAGGACACTTGGCTTTTATTTCTGAATTGAGTTGCCTTGTCCTTAAACAAATTACTTGTGCCTCCAAATTGCTCTGGAAAGAGACAGCTATGGGTGCTGAGGTTTACCTCATTATATTTGGACAGTTAGGAAATCCCCCTATAAAATGTTGTAGAGACTTTATTATCCCGGTATCCTAGGTGCCACAGACTTACTCCACCACATAACTAACTATAAACATGTGAGTAATTCTTTTGGGTTTACGCAGACTGCCTGCATGTTTAAAGTTAAACGTATGCATGAGTCATTGCAGGATCTGGAGCTAAGGTGGTAAGGCAGAAAAAGAAAACAAACCCATGCAAAGGAAGTATATGGTCATAACAGCTGCAGTTTTACTAGATGTACCAAGTTAGTGAAGATATTTAAATGTCATTGAAAACGAACATTTTATAAAGCATGGAGAGTTCAGGGTGTTTCCTAGGAGGGACCATGGCTATTGGATCGCTGGTGTGCCTGCAGCCCTACTGACCTCTGTGGGAATCCTGCTTGCTCGGAGCAGGCTGCAGGATTGAGGTCTGTGAACTGATGGCTGCAAGTGAAATGCAAGAGGTTCTTCTAAATCCCATTAAATCTGTCTGTAACTTCAGTAGGAGTAGGCATACCCTCCTGCCTCTGTCTCTTCTGAAATACGCTCAGCTTTGCTTCTGCTTTTCCTCCAGAGAGCTCTGTATCAGCTCACTCAAAACTAAGTTCTTTGCAGAACGCGAGTTTTAAGATTTGTGGTTGACTTTTGTCCGGCTCTTTTTCCTGGCATCTTCTCCTGATATTTGTTTGTTTCTTTCAGATGAAGCTACTAAACTTGTACATAAAGAGGGCCCAGACCACCAACAGCAACAGCAGTTCCTCTTCAGATGTTTCAACGCACAGTTAATGGAGATATGTGGACATATGTGTAGACTTAGAAGCAATCAACAGTGCCTCTCAGAGACCTTTCTGCTACTCTTCACTGGCGCGCTCCATCAGCTCAAGGAGGCCATGCAGATATTTATTGCAATCAGTATTTTAGTCCCTTAAAAGCTTTTATGTAGAATCTTACTGGTATTGAATGTAAAGGAAGCAAGGTCTGTGTTGCAGTCTTCATTAAAAGTGAACAACAGAAAGCCATACTTAAACATATTTGTATAGCCTGCTGAAATCTCAGAAATATGTTTAGGTTAGCGTTCCAAAACAGAGTCCAAGAACCTGGACGTGCGTAAAGGTGAAACAAATCTTGTTGGTTTAGTTCATACCCAGTTTTGGTTTCTGTGCGCTAGTTACCTGCTCTCTCCCCGCGGTCGCAGCCATTCTGGCTAGGATCTCCTCTTCTTACAAGTCTTGTGGTCCTGTTTTGTACTCCCTGTTGCAGCTTGCCTAACGTGAAGGACTCTCTGTGGGGAGATCTTTGCAGATGTGGCTGTGATTCCAGCCTTGGATGCTTTAATACTGAGAGAGATCAAATGAGTAATGAAAAAGTAGATTCTTTTTAAACATCTGAGTTTTTGTACATAGTTCTTCTGACAGACCTCCGATGGGCTGATTTCTCTGTAACTGCTCTCCATCCAGCTGTGCTGTGCAAAACAGCTGGGCTCTTGCTACTTTCATTGACTGTGTAAATATTTCTCCCCTCCCAACCCATTCGGCTCTTTCATATGCTCAAAAGACTCTCCAGGTTACTTCCTAAAGGGAACCTGAGACCCAGTTCTGGGTCCGATGCCTGCGATGGGACACTGGAGTTAGGTGGGTGGGTGTTGGATTAGGCTCTGAGTGTGCCTGTGGGTGGGCAGTGGGAGCGGGCAGGGCTCATCTCAGTGCTGCCTTGTGAGGCTAGCTGCGTTCTTCTTGAAGCCTGTAGCGTCAAAGGGCTGATCTGCTGCTCTGACCTGACCCACTGCTGTGGGGCGGTGAATGGCTTTGTCCCCACAACTCTTTTGTGCTTTGGGCAAAACGTTCATCCCAGAGGATAGAAAGGGCGTCTGAAACAGAACAAAAAGACCCTGTGGAAGCACCTGCTGAGCCAGCTGGGAGAGTGCTGGTCGCCTGCCACAGCTCCCCTCCTGTGCCTGAAGAGCCTGCAGTGCTGTTAGCTGCCTTTAGAAACCTCCTTCTTCCTGGCCAGCCCCACGCACAGCCCTGCTGGGTGCTCTGCATTTCGGAGGGGTGCGGAGGGCCCTCGCTGGGCACTGCTGTCAGCAGGGTGCTCTGGGTGAGGGTGCAGCGGGACAAATTTGATGACGCAGACCAAGTCAGAGTCAAACCAGCAGCAGTCAAATACCCCACAGCACCACCCTTCCCCAAAGGGAGACCCTTCCGTTTGCAGAGGGTGAGCTCCCCCTGCCTCTGCCTGTGACCAGGGGAGGCAGGAGGATGCTAGTGCTGTGTTTGGCCTGGGCTGGATCCTGGCTGAAGGGCATGCCCACCCCAAACCTGCAATGAGTCAGAACTGTTTTTTTTGCCCCCAGTGCAGTGATGTAAGAGGATGGTGGACGGCTGCAGCTGTGGTGATGGATGTGTGTGCTCCCTGGCTGCTCTCAGTGCCTCAGTCTCTCTCCAGCCCCCTCCATTTCCCCTTTGGGGAGCTGAAGGGACACCTCGGTAGCCTACTGAGAACATGAGAGTTCCAGTACCACAGCGGGGAGGGTAAAGCCCCGTTGTCCTCCTTTTCATCCCTGTGTGTCTCAGCCCCGGCCCCAAGGAGCTATGCTGGGAGGTGATGCTTGGTGCCAGCTCCCCTCCCAGTCCCCAGCTCAGGAGGGGTTGGGACTGGTGGGACTCTGTGGGATTGGGCTACAAAGCTTATCCGTCCCTTTTCCTGCTAACATGAGAGCAGAGGAGGTGACCTGCTCCTGGGTTTGTCAGGAGATGTGTCTAGGCTTTTGCTGGCTGCGGGGCTAGTTCCCTCATCTTTCCCAATGAATAATGCCATGGCAGGAGAAACAATGCGATCCTGGTGGGTGGGATTCCCCCAAGGTTTTTCCGCAGGCTCAGAAAAGCCATCCTCGGTAGAGGGAGGATTGGCTGCTCTGTGGTTGGTGTCTCCCTTTCCGTGGACCATTCCTTCTCAACATCTTTCAGTATGCTTGTTAGAATATTCTTTTTTAATTTTTTTGAATGATTCAAATTATTTTAGTTTAACATGAATTTATTTTCCCTTTTGAGGAAATATTCAGCCGACTTGTTGGCAGCAGTTAGCTGTCTTGTTTGAATTTTTAGATAGTGAGTTTGGTTTTTTGTTTGGGGTTTGTTTTGTTGTTTTTTTTTTTTTTTTTTTAATTTGTACTCTAACCGCTTAGTATTTATGCCTCTCTTTCTCCCCATCTCAGTTCAGCATCTTCTGTTCCAGTTGTGGGGTTCAGAAGGTCAGCATAGCTGACCAGATGGCGTTTAGTCCCTCCCAGCTGTGATGGAGCTTGGTCCATCACCGTTTGCTGTTTGTTTGTTGGGTTTTTTTTGTATGGCACACTGTAGCAAATCTCCAGGAATTGAATTCCTTCTCAAATGATTTTATATATTTTATAAAATCCTGTTAGTATGCACTGAGAGTGAACGCACTGTAACGTCCCTGAACTGACCCTAGCGCGTGCGCTGACACTACAGTCGGAGTTAACAGCTTGTCCTTCAAAAGACGCGTGTGACCTACTGCGACTCCAGCGACGAGCGTGTGTTTTCCGATACTATTGGCACACTTGGGGCTGCAAATGGTAGAACCAGGCCTTACTTTCTGAAACAGATTCTGTTCTGTTTGTCAACAGATGCTCCTCATTAACGTGCTACTTAATTTCGTTACGTGAGTCAGTCGAGGACTGTTCATCCTTTGAGTACTCTAGAAATATGTTATACCTGTATACAGTAGCGAGCATTCTGCTTAGGTATTTATAAATCATTGCGTATAATGTACATAGTAAGGTTGTTTAGTATGTTGAACATGACCCAATTTTTTTTTTTTGTTTCCTTTGAAGTACTCAAAGGGCTAGCTCTGAATGTCACCTCTCTGATCTCCAGTGTTCTGACTTCAACAAGCTGTACAATCATTTTGTTTTCTATTCAGCAAGCATAAAGGTCTCTCTGGCTACAAATCACAGTGTCCACGCATGCTTGCAGAGAAAGATCTGCATGCTGGCAGTGCCTCACCACACCGGTGAAGCTTGTGTTCACGTTCTCCCGGCAGTAGCCACCTACTGCAGCTGCCTTTTTTTTTTTTTCCTTGCTGCCCATTACGCAGGGCTTCAATTTTTCATACCTTTAAAAAAAAAAAAAAAAAGAAAAAAAAAGCGTATTTTATTTGCCCACCATGCTTTAAAAGTCTGAATGGGAGAAAACTCTCAGCAGACAGCAGCTCCTGGGTGCAAGGTTGCCGAAATCTCAGATGTGGATGTTTTTTCTGCCATTGGCTGCACCAGTGCTCCGTGGGCATGGGCAAATACCGGATCCATCCGCCCCACAGGTCTACGTACTGTAGTTCTCATGTAGTGCAGAAATATCGAGGCATGTGGCTTTCTTAAGGTACACTATGTGTGCTTGCCTGGATTACAATACAATACGAGACTGTCTTTTTTATTGCTTATTACTAGCTTACCAATAACCTGTATAAGTAACGTAACTCGCATCTTTGTCATCAAAACCTTTTCTCCCCACCCCTTTATTTATCAAGCATAATACTACATATTAAGGGACAGAAGAATAGACCTTCGTAGAATACAGCAGGACGTTGCTAACAATGTTTTAAATGGGAAGTAAAAACTGCTCTGAAAAATGCCAGCCACGAGAAATGACTTTGTTGGCACCGTGTTCATGCGCATGTATTTTTTTCTATTTTTTCCGCTTTTGTCATGTTACATCCATATCTGTATTTATATCTTATTTGTTTCACTTTTGAGTGTATCATGGCAATTGTACAGATGTTTTTGTTAACATTTATGTGATAGAATTTGCTAAAAAAAAAAAAAAAATTAAAACCTTTTGAGTTTGCCCTAGAATAAGTGGAAGTTGGATTTCTTTTGGGGGGAGAAATATTAAAGTAGATTCATTATCCAACACAGCTCCTCACTCCGGCAGGCTTTGCTTGTAAAGGATTTGCTCTTATTCCTGCCCTGGCTGCTGTGTTTTCATGTATTTATTAGAAGGTGCATGGTGGTCTGGCTGTTGCCTACAGGCCAGTCTGTGAGTGGCCAGTGGGCAGCTGATTTTTGGGGTGCTGGTCTTTTGCTATCAGCTTTTAAAAGCTTTTGGGAAGTCATGATTTTAGGGGATTCTTGTGACGTTACAAACTGAAGAGCCATATGCGGTTTGAAAGCTGATGGTCTCATGCAAAGTCACGTAACTCAAGGAGCAAGGGCTTCAAAAGATGCCTGTGTTATGAGGCTCATTAAGAGAATTGCAGAGGTTTTAAAATAGGTGGCAGTAGAAGTTTGGGTGATGAAGTGTTTGGGGAGGTGAAGGGGTGCTGGGAACTGCACAGGTCTCTGTGCCTGGTACCAAAAGACAAAGAACTTGAATTTGAAGTGGCCGGGGAGTCTGAGCGCTCAAGCGCTTGTGTGTTATCCTGGGGGAATAATAGCTCATCACAATTTAAAAACCTGTAGTGAAGCTCTGCTCTACACTAGGGAAACGGATCCCCTAAGGTATGACTTTTACCTTGATGCTATTTCTTTAGCATCAAGGTAAAAGGTCCTCAAATACCTTGTGGTGGGTGCAAGGGAGTCAGGAGAGCATGGGAGGTTCATATTTCCTATGGGAGGCGTTTGGTGTGAATATTCCCAGACACAGGAGTACATGGAGAGTGTTACAGTGTGAGTGCCAGCATTCATGGTGGTTCTGGCCATGCTGGATTAGGCACTGCTAGTTAAACTATCCTCTCTCTCCTCCTGCAAGAGGGTTATTTTATCTGCCCTTTTTAGTCTCCAGCTAGTTACTGAGCTAGAACAAGTTTGACAATTTTGGGGGAAGTTTCAGACAAGCAATAGTTTTGTTTAGCTACAGACCCTTCACAGCATCAGCAGCCTCACTGGTGTCTCCTTTGCCCTGGCACTCCCGGCTGCCACCAAGCCCTGCCCATGCCAGCCCAGGGACCCTTCTGCATCAAGATTCAGGGGCCCAGCTGGGAGTGAGGACCTCTCCGTGGGAGTGATCGCTCTCCCTGCTGCAGATGGACCAT